GCGACAGAGACATGGCAGAGGTGAATGAGAAGGTCACTGTAGATATGCCAGCTAGTTTTTTTTGGTTTTTTTTTTTGGGGGGGGGGTTATTCAAGACAGAGCCCTTTGGAAACCCTTGTTGCTCTAGATAATGGGATGACACCAGCCGTATTCCAGAATGTGTCTGGAAAACTTAAACCGTACTACCGTGTCTCCTGCCTTATATCCACTCGACCTCTACTTGACCCCTGAATCCCACAGACCCATCCATAGCTAATGCAGTATAGAGAGAGCTGGAATGGGATCCGTTTCACACCGCAATCATTATGAGGCCGGTGTAAAAGAAGCGCGCTGCAAGACTCCAGCCCCTGATACACCTCTATAAGAGCCCGCTGACCATCAAAGCTACCAAATGTGCAGACGTGAAGATTTTAGAGGTGTTCTAGCCCGACAGTTTTTCTCCGAGTTGCCCCATGCTGGAGGAATAAGTGCTGCTCAAGAGTCTGATGACTCAGAGTCGTCATTGAAAAATGAATATCATATAATTAAAAAATAAACAGAGTAAATATTACAAAATGTTTTGCAATTTTCTTGTTCAAATATTTAGCTTTGTTTGTATTCACAAATGAGTAAAGAATCTCACGATTCATTGACTTTTTCCAAGAGGGAGACCTTGCCAACAGATTACAAGGGAAAAACCAGCGCTGTTAGTTTGCTACATAGTTTTTCTATTTTGCTCTCACTGAAACACCCATAACACATGGACTAGGAACATTTCTCATTTTCAATACAGATGGTCATACTTGAAGTCAATGTAATTAGTGGAGAGATCATTGTAGCACAAACAGAGTTATAAGACTTTAAAGTTTGTTTTTCAATTATATATATATATATATATATATATATATATATATATATATATATATATATATATATATATATATATATATATATATATATATATATATATGCACACCCTCCTTAACATTTTTAACATTACCCTCATTTTTAAGGGCAATATAGTGGCGTCCAAAAGAAACTTAAAAATGTAATCCGCCAATTATCGTGTTATAGCCTCGCATTACCTACTTATGTAGCATATCAATCTAAAGCTAAATAAAGTCTGCATCATCTGACACATTTACATTTCAGCTATGGTAAGAAATGCCCGAAATATGGCCACTCAAAATTGACCTTGAAAAGTCAGGCTGGGCAAAACTGTGCGAAATCGGAGAAACGCAAAAGTGTGTTCTCGAGTATTGAATATCAAATGAAAAGTGAATATTATTGTCTCTGCAATGAACATCATCTTCTGATGATATTTTCAAACATATTGGAGAACAGAGCAGTTGCAAATACCAAACAAAACCTGGATTTAACAAATCATGTGCTCATTAGTATTAATTTTATTTTTGTTTATGAGCTAATGGTTTCATGTCGAGCACGAAACTTTTTGTACATGAACTATGTTACTTAGATTTTAAACATAATCATCTGTCAGTGAGGAACAGAGGCCACGAAACTGTCGTGCTTTTGGGTGGCCTGGGGTGGATTGAACACAACCGCCCTCAGGAGAATCACCGGATGGTTTGGTTTAGTGGACAGCATAGCGCAAGTGCTGGAACGTCATGTCTTAACCTTATTTCCGTCGTCCTGTCTTTCAAGTGGACATCTCCATGCACAGCAAAGAACTTTTACAGGGCCAATGCCTCAAGATATTTCTTGGAAAACCAAATCAAATTACCGTTGGAGTGGTCACCAGTAAATAGCCCCAATATGAATCCTACAGGTATGTGAAGAGTGCTCGCGTTGAGTCTTCTTGTGATTGATACTACAGGTGTGCCCACTTGAAGATTTTTATTAATTTGATTTCTCTCTGGCTCATTCAGCCGAAGCAAAGTGAATTGAAAAAGAGAGGCAACTTTTAGATGTGGCAAAAATTTGAAAGGAGCCCTACTGTAACGCGTATGATTTTTGTTTTCAAAGTTATCCACACAATTTCACAGTATTTAACAAAATATGAAAACCACGTGGAGGGCATCGTAAGACAAAACTACTTCGTAAATACTACATAGAATTCGTTTATTTGCAATAGGCCTACTTAGTATATGATACCAAAAACAGAAAAAGCTATTTTTTAACCCCCCCCCCCTTTTTCGGTCATCATTGTGGATGCACTTACTGATAGGTAGTTCCTTTTCTGAGGGGGCCATTGCATTTGAAATTCTGAGAATTTTTTGAATTTAGACATTCGTCCTTTTTAGTGTTGCTGCCGATAGACACTCGAACTGGAAGATAGAAAATGGACATTCATTTATTGTGCACGCACGCACGCAGGCACACAGGCACGCAGGCACGCAGGCACGCAGGCACGCTTGCTCGCTCACTGGCACGTATGCAAGCACGCACGCACACACACACACACACACACACGCACGCACGCACTCATGCACACAACGCATACATACATACATACATACATACATACATACATACATACACACACACACACACACACACG